GGGGCCAGGTAAGCCCTCCACTAACTACTGCTGCTCCTGTGGCTTCTCAGGGGCTGCTTACAGTAGGGAGTGGAAGGAACACAGCCCTCAAGTCAGAGTGAGATTTGAATTCCAACACTGTAGCTTGTTGGCTGTCTGAACTTGGGTAACTTCTTCAGTTTCTTTGAACTCATGTCTTTACGTAATTGAAGAGGCCATGAAGTACAGGTGGTAAGATTGCAACTCTGGTTGAGGCTGCATGGGCTCAAATTCCAGTTCCACCACAGGCATGCGTTCACAAATCCAGACCCGATGACTTTGCATCTGGGCCTCAGTTATGCCATCTGTGCAGTGGGGACGGTAATGGTAGCTGCCTTCTGGGTTTGTTGTGGAGATTGAGTGAATTAATGTAGAGGAAGTGCTTTTTGAGCATTTACCTGATACACAGTAAATGCTCCAAAAAACTCATGTTCGCTGTCACTGTTAGTTCTTACTATTAGTAACCTTTACCTTTTTTTTCTTAGAGAAAGCAATACATATTTATTGTTGGAAAAATTAAAAATAGAAAGCAGAAAGGACAGGTCAGTTGCTCACTGTTGGTATTTCTTGCTCTCTGTGTGTATTTTCTTTCTGATATTTTACAAGCATGTACATATTTAAAAAACAAGATAGTCATACTATGTACCCTTCCTTTTACTTTCTATAACAGACCTTTCATTCAGTTATTGATGTAGAAGGCGGAGGTTTGGATAATCGCAAAGACAGGAGATGGCTCACTTTAAACCGATCCTAGGACACAGGTTTTTCTTTTTCTATGCTTTTTTGGGATCAGTGTATCTGAAACTCTTCATCTGAAACTGCAGTTCATTTTAACAGCTGTACATAGTTCTACTTGACTTACTCATGGAATTGGACTATTTGAAAATTACTTTCATCTATAGTTTAGTATGTTAGTACTGCAGGTACATGATAATGTCTCTTATTTCCTCTTTTCTCCCAGTTTAATTTGGATCAGAATCTACTCAACTGCTTTTACACCTAAAAGACTGAATTGGAAAGTTAATTCAGTGGAGAAGATAGCTGTGTCTATGAACTTACTGTCAGTTGAGGATAAAGAAGCTGGATATTGGAAGAAAGAATTTATTAGAAAGCAAATAGCATCTGTAAAAGCAGCACTAGCTCAGGTCCTCAAACCTGTCAACCACTACACAGACCTTCCACTCAAAACCAAGGAGGCGCTCAGGTATGCGGTGTGCCCTTGCAGCGTGTGCTCCATGCATCGGTTACGGCCACTCTAAAGAATAATGGGCAGCTCCGTGTTGTGCACCTAGGACATACATGCACCTCAGCTTGTGGGAGGCTGTCTCTGACAACTGGGTGTGTTTTGTGCACCCATAGAATAGGTAGTGTTTTTCTAGTCCATTTGTGAGAGGTCTTCAAAAAAGTTCATGGAAAATGCATGTTATGAAAAAAGTATGCATGGATTTAAAATTTTTTTCACATCAAAATAAACTCATACTTTATTTCCATCTTTTCCATGAACTTTTTGAAGTCCCCTCATATTTGGCCTAAAGTTGTTATGAAAACCAGAGATCACCTCATATCTGCTCTAAGAAAGCACAAGTATGCCAGGCGTCTTCCCTCTGGGCAGAACCTTGCCCTACTCAGCTGGGTACTGCCAGAACCTGAAGCTCTCGGATGCTCATCGAGTGTGTGTTGGGCAAGCAGGAGTATCCCGGAGAGAACTGTTGGTGGATGAAAGCTGTTAGGTGTGCTCTGAGACATGGGACTGCTGCGGTTTGGGAGCGAGGGGCCTTAGAAGTGTGAGAAGTTACCATTGTGTTTCTTCCTGCAAGGAGGCAAACATTTTTAGTTCTCTTTTCTTTCTCCAGAGCATGTGGTTTAGGCTGGGCAATTATACTGAAAGGAAAGTGAGTCTTACTTAAAGTAAACACTGGAAAGGAGCATGTCATGGAGCACGTCAACCTCTCCATAAACCACACGGCAGTCTCTCTTGCGTGGTATGGCAAACACTGGCCGTGTGTGGCCACACTGTCCACCTTAGAGTTGTGTGGGGTGACACCTGTTTTCATGGACTGGTATAAAAGCCCGACCAAAAACAGGTAAGTACTAGTTCAGCAGAAGAGTTGGGTGAGAACATCTTGTGTCAACATTAGTTGACATTTTATAATTCAAAAACATCACCAGTATAGCAACATTTTAATTGAATTGTATCTTATATTTTTTCTATCATTCTACACCAGTAAAGAATAGGGAGAGAATGCATTTATCACATTCACAACTTGGTCTAAATTTAGATTCTTAATATCTAGGTTATTTATAATAGTAGGAAGTCATATTTTGTTAATAAATTTCCAGAATGATTCATGGATAGCTTTTTGAAGTTTTTAGTTATAACTATTTTAACGGAAAGATCTACAAAACTATAATTTTTCCCCTTTTTTAGTAAATGGTATGCTAATTGTAGTTTAAGTATGAGGTCCTAAAGTTATAATTATTGTCTATTTTGTGTGCCTTTCTGTTGAACTCACTAGGTGTGTGACTCTATGCAAATAACCTGTTCTTTCTGTGCCTCCACTTCTCGCCTGTGAAGTAGGACGATGATCAGTATTAGCACATATGGCCCCTGTGAAGAGCAGAGGCCAGACAGTTGCATCAGTCACGTGCTAGTGCTGCTAGTTCTTATGGCGCCTTCGCTGTCACTCTGCTTTAAGGTGGCTCTGCATGGAACCCACACACAGTACAGGGCCCTCGTCTGCCTCTCCTGTGGGTCTCCCGTGCTCACTTTTGTGGTCATCACTTGTTTTCGCCTCACATCTGGAGGTTGGCATGTCAGTGCTCTTGTCTACTGAGCAAGCTGGCATAGCTTTGTTTAAAATGTATTCTAATGCAGAAGGCATCTCTGTGTCCTCAGTGGTGGCTTCCTGCCTCCCTCCCAGCTTCCTCACTGTCCCAGCATCCCCTAGCATCCCAGTAGTGTCCACCACATCGTCGTTCTTACCATCTCACACGTGCGGCTCCACCCATCAGTCTCTCTGCTTTCTGTCCTTGCTGCAGATCAGAGTGTCGGGCATCACACTGTCTCCCAAGGGTATGTTATTTCATGGTTTTCCTGGGTAAAGGCCCTCTTGAACTCTGTGACTGGGGACCTTGTTTCTGGCTCCTTTCTGGTACTGGCCCTGGGAGGATAGTTTCCTGGTCATTGTGCTCTCTGCCCAGGCTGTGAGCATGAGCATATTCTGACCTCTTTGTGCTGGTACATCTAGGCTTTATTAAATTATTTTTATTAATTAACAAAATTAATTTTGTTATTTTAAAATTAATTTTAATTACTATTTATACATTTAATCACTATACATCATTTAGATTGTAAAGAGATTTTACACAGCATGATATACACCTCAGGCTAGCCCAGATGAGAATAACTATGCACATCTTCATCAACAAATAATAAACCATATCTGTGTCCCATAAATGTCTTACCTCTCTGTTTTTTCCCCAAATTTCCTTTCCTATGCTCATCCCCTTCCACAATATTTACACTTTGTCTCTAGTGTCCATAACAATTTTTAACGCTTATATGTCCTCCAGTCTTTCAGTCTCTGCCATAGAGTGTGGACAGTCAGTATGTGTTAAGGGGAGAAATACAATGTCTCTCTTTCATAGCCAGACTTGCTTCACTCAGCAACAGATCTTTCATATTTGTCCACTATCTATCAAATGCCAGGACCTGGGGTACCAGCAGTTAGCGTAATGGCTATGTCGCTGGACTCCCACGTAGTCGACCGTGGTTCGCGTCCCGGACCCGGTGGCTTAAAACTCACACCGGGTGCGTGTGCGTGCGAGCCCAAGATCTCAAGAGGAGAATGGAGGGGAAGGGATTGCGGTGTGACCATCCCCCCCGGGGGGTGATTTCTCGCTTTCTGTCTCTATGTCTCTCTCTGTCTGTCTGGTGAGCACACATGCCCTATAGCAAAAATCTCTCCAAAAAAAAAAAAAAAAATGCCAGGGCCTGGTTGTTTTTTTATGGTTGAATAGTATTCCATGGGGTTTATGTGTCACACTTTTTCAATCCATTCATCCATTTGTGGACGTTTGGGTTGGTTCCATGTCTTAGCAATTATGAATAAGGCTGCAATGAATATGTGCAAGTGCTTTTCTGACTGAGTGTTCTCCTGTCCTTTGGGTAAATACCCAGGAGTGGGATTGCTGGATCATATGGTAGTTCTATTTGAAGGTCTTTGAGGAACCTCCATATCATTCTCCACAGTGGCTGGACTAATTTACATTCCCACCAACAGAGTAGGAGTGTTCCCCTTTCACTGCATCCCCTTCAACACTTATCATTTTTTTTTTTTAATCTTTGCCATTCTGACTGATGTTAGGTGGTATCTTATGGCTTTATTATATTCTTAAAGCTCCCTTAATGCTATCATGAAAAACATGTGAATTATTTTCCCTGATTGTAATACTAAAGACTTTTTTGTAGCTTCTAACTTTTTTTTCTTTTCTTTTTTGACCAAAGGGTACATATGCTTGCTACAGAGAGAGAGAACTGGAGAGAGAGAGAGAGAGAGAGAGAGAGAGAGAGGAAGCTCTCTACTCCTGAGAATGATCACGCTGCTATCCCTTCTCCTCCATTTCTTCCTTCTTTTAGGATTTTAGGGACACACACACATGTGCCCAGAGTATTTCTCAAGGTACCCAGTCTGGGACTTGAACTGTGCCATGTGGTATCCAGCTGCCTTAACCACTAGGCCATGGGCTAGCCTGCTGAAGATATTTTAGCAATACAGTTTCCTTTTTTATTGCTTATTTATTTTCTTCATGAGGGCAAGAAAGGGGGAAAGCAGACAGCCTTGACAAGAACCTTCACACTTGATCCTCTCCCCAGCCCCGTGGCTGGCCCAAGTTGTGGACGTGCACATAGGTACACTGGAGGCTATAAGCGGGATGCAAACCTGAAGCCTTCCTGAATGGTCTTCTGCAGATGAGGCAGCACTGCTGCTACCTGTGCCTCTCTGACTGGGCCCACAGTTACCTGTTTTTTTTTTTTTAATTATTTTATTTGACTTAATTTATTCATTCATTTATTTAAATTTGACCACAGAGAGACACACATAGAGATAGAGAGAGAGAGATAGAGAGAGGGAAAGTGAGAAAGCAAGCCACCAGGTCTGGGACTCAAACCATAGTCAGCCATGTGGAAGTGTCCAGCACCTTAACCATCATACCACCTGCTGATCCCACCTTGTTTTTTTTTTTAAACATAACACATTTTCAAATTTATTTACTTATTTCTTCTGTGAGAGAAAGGGGGAGAAAGAGAGAGAGAGACAAAGAGATATAGAAAGAGCCAGTTTCTTCCCACAGGGTCCTCATGCTGTGATCCATCCCTAACCAGCCTAAATCATGGGCTCCATGTTTCTGGCCTATCCTAGGGGACTGAGGACACTGGACCTTCCCATGTGGGGTCAGCCCTGTTGAATCTTGCCAGTGTACCACCTACACCCACCACCCTTGCCAGGTTACTGTTCTGTATGGTGCATCTATGTGGATACATCTCTGGGGTTTCCTATGATGTCATGGTGGACACCAGCGTTTTCTCCTGTGCTATTTAGAGTTTCCACATGATGAAGTTACATTTGGGGAACGAGTCCACAGACACTTCTTGTTTGAATATTAGGTTACTTGGCATATCTAGAAAAGTCATTCACAGGTATTTGCACAAAATTGTTAACTTTAATGAAAATAATCACAAAAAACCAACTTTTAAATGGACAGTGTTGAATTGTAAAGCTCAGGTAAAGATAGTGTGTTCCTGAAAATTGTCAACAAGGTTGGGAATACTAGGTAGTAGATAGTGAGGAAAACTCATTTAATATCATTTATTTTCAGTAAAACTCAGTGGACTTAAGCCAGCCTTTTTCTTTTTCTTTTTTTTTTTTTTTTTGCTTTAGGGTGTGCGTGCTTGCCAGACAGAGAGAGACAGAGAGACAGAAAGTGAGAAATCACCCCCCAGGGGGGATGGCCATGCCGCAATCCCTTCTCCTCCATTCTCCTGTCGGGATCTTAGGCATGCACACACACGCGCCTGACGTGAGTTTAAGCCACCGGGTCCGGGACTCGAACCGCGGTCGACTACGTGGGAGTCCAGTGAAATAGCCATTAGGCTAACTGCTGGTCCCCAGCCAGCCTTTGGTGGACTGTGCTCAAGAAAACTGGAGATGTCTCTCAGGAGTCCGTTTGATTGGCACTTTTCCTGCAGGTTTGTTAGTGAGGGTTCCATTGTGCAGGAGGGCAGATTCATGTGCCCCTGTGTGATAGCTGGGAGAGGATTGGTGACTTTTGTTTTTTCCCTTTTCCTCTGTGAAAAGTCTTCAAGAACAGGGAAAGCCCTACTGAAGTAATTTACAGGTTGGATTTCCTATAATTGCCACCTTTCTGCCCAGGCAGTACATTTTCTCCCTCCCCACATTCTCCACTCTAGCGTGTACCTTCACCGCCCCATGCTCCAAGCGCACTGGTGGCCAAATGTTGGCATAGTTTCCATGTCTAAGGCCTTTGAGGCCATGGTAAGAGAGGACACAGTGCATCCCCAGTGTCCATTGAAACGCCTTGTGTCTTCTAGCTTCGTACACTCTGGAGAGTGAGGGAAGAGGGTTTTTCACATTCACCATCCTCTGCTGTCCACACCAATAACAAGAAGGGTAGCCACTCTCCTCACTGAGCACCTGCTAGGTACTGGGTGCTTCCAGGGTGTTTCCTCATTGGGCGTCCAAGCCTACTCCAAGGAGGCTGGTACTGCCCCCATGACAGAAATGGTCTTGGTGGGCAGGACATCGCTGCAGGCATGGTCTCCTGGATCCATCTCAGGTTCCTCCTCATGCTCACCCTTCCCCACGGACATTCTATAGGTCGAGTGTATTTTAGTTTCTTCATGCTCAGGCTCAACACACTTCTCCTGCGCCAATGGGTCCTCAGATCAGAAGACTCCTTTGGAAATGTGAATGCAGGGCCGGGGTAGCATGGTAGCTGCAAGATGAGTTTTGTCCTGTTTTGCTTAATGACCATCTAGGTACCTGTCAGCCGCCATCTTGGCTTGTTGTGCTAAGTGCTGCAGGGAAACCCTTACTTTTATTTTTAAGAATTAATTAATTAATTAATTTTTATTTTATTTATTAATTTATTTTAATTTGACTAGAGAGATATAAAAAGCAAGAGCAAGAGTGAGAGAGTGCGAGAGAAAATTAGAAAGCAAGCCGCCAAGTCCAGAACTCAAACCACAATCGGCCATGTGGGAGTCCAGAGCCTTTAACCACCATGCCACCTGCCAATCCCCAGCAAACCCTTCCTTTTTTAAAAGTTGCCAATGTTAATTTTTAAGTTGACATAGTTATGCGCATTTCTGGGGTAGATGTGGTATTCTGAGACACGGAGAAATGATGAGGTCATGGTAATCAGCATACCCATCACCTCAAACCTTGAACACTTTTTTATTGTAAGAACATTCAGCACTCTTAAAAAAAATTGCTATTTGAAATATACACTGAATTTCACACGCCTGTGAAGACATTTGTAAAGAATTCAGCTATTATGGTCTGCTTTTATGTCACTTAGAGTATTTTATCGTGGTGTATGCATTATTTCACTAACTTGATTGGGAGTACATACTGAGAGTCTGCTTTTATTTCTGTCCCAGGAACGATTCTGTGTTCCTTATGCATTATTTAAATGACACATAATAATTATACATGCTTATGGGATACAGTGATTTTCCAGTATGTGAATATATTATATAAGAGTAAAATTGGGGTAGTTAGCATATCTGTCATCTCAAACATTAATCATTACTTGGCACTGGAAATATTCAAAATCATCTTTTAGCAGGACCAGCAGATGATGTAATGGTTACATTGCTGGACTCCCATATAGTCAGCCATGGTTTGAGTCCCAGCCCTGTGGCTTAAAACTCACACTGTGTGTGTGTGTGCGTGCTCCAAATCCCAAGAGGAGAGTGGAGGAGAAGGGATAGTGGCATGACCATACTCCCTGGGGTGACATTTCTCATTTTCTATCTCTGTGTGTCTGGCAAGTGTATACACCCTATGGCAAAAATCTTTCTTTAAAAAACAAGACCAAAATAATCTTTTAGCTATTTTGAAATATACAAATAGAGAGAGACAGAGAGACAGAAAGTGGTGACGCCACAGTCCCTTCTCCTCCATTCTCCTCTCAGGATCTTGGGCACACATGCACATGTGCCTGGCTTGAGTTTAAGCCACTGGGTCTGGGACTCAAACCATGGTTGACTACATGGGAGTCCAGCAACATAGCCATTATGCCAACTGCTTGTCCCTACAGTAAATTCTTTTTAACTATAGTTACCCTACTCTACTGTAGAACATCAGAGCTGCTGCTGCTTATCTAGCTGTAATTGTGTCTGTTAACCCACAGCTCCTTAGCCTCTCTTCCCAACCTCTAGCAATCAGCATTTCCCACTATTTTCTTTTTCTCATATAAGTGAGAACATGTGAGTTTTTGAGAGTCTGCTTTTGATTATAGTATTGTGCTCAGTTTTTGTGGGGAAAAGAATAGCAGATGGTTCTGCCTCTTTATCGCCTTCCTGATTTTAACTTCTGGCTAAGCCATTGAGTCGACAATAAGAGCAAGGGGAGAAAAACACAGGTGGGTGAGAAATTTGAATGTTTCTATGTTGCTTTTTAGTTTTGCAGTCATTTGTGTCCCACCTCACCAATGTGCCACTAGTTTGAGCCCCTTATTAACATGCCCCTTGAAAGCATTTTTAGATACACTAGAACAATTGATAACAGTACAGATTGGTTAGCTCATCTCTCTCTCTCTCTTTCTCTCTTTTTTTCCGGTTATGAACGTTGAAAGACCTCGATGGCGTTCTTTAATTGCAAGGTACAGTCTGAGTCATTTAACTGAATCCACCATGATTGGCTGCGACAGACTCGTCCAGATCTTCTGCTTAGACCCTGGCCTCCTGGTGGGGCTGTGGAAGGTAAGACTCACAGTTCCACATGTATTCATCGTGAGATAAAATCCTTTAAGGCTTTTCAATAGCTGCATCAGTTTTTTTTTTTTTTAAGACTATTTATTTAACTTTATTTGTTATTATTATTATTATTATTATTATTTTAAAAAATCTGACCAGAGAGATTCAGAGAGAGAGAGAGAGAGATAAAGGGAAAGTAAGAAAGCAGGCCTCCAGGTCCGGGATTGGAACCATGGTTGACCATGTGAGAATCCAGTGCCTTAACTGTCACACTACCTGCCAGCCCTGCTGCATCAGTTTCTTGCTAAGTTCATTTGTCCACCTCCATGACTCTTTGTTTCATTGAGGTTGCTTGGCTGTTCTGAGTCACAGATGACAACCACCTCTCCTGCCTCACCTTCATGTTCACACTGTTCCTTTAACAGTATGGGTCTTTTCCCCCCCTTTTCCCTCTAGTCAATCCACGTTCTCCTTCTTTCCTTTTGTGTCCTTTCTCTGCCAAAGCTTCTCTTACCAACACAGTGTCCTCTCAGGCTCCTTTCTGATCCTGTAGATATGGCATTGAGTATAATTTATGCTTCAGGCAAAGTATCTAAGTTGTTTTTTCCCTCTCCTTAAAACATCTTGCTTTGCCAGGTCAGGCTGATTGCTAGCTCCCTCAGAGAAGAGCAGAACAGTGTGGTTTACCTCCACACACCACACATCTCACTCTGTGGCTTTGGTTGGTGGATGTTTCAAGATAGCGCTCATAGATTTGATTCTGAGAGTGGCGGCATGCATCTGTGGCAGTGACTAGACAAGCAGGAGCGACAGCTTCACGCAGCGCTGCCCCCTTGCCCTCTTTCCTAGCTTTCTGTGGCAATAGGCTCTCTTTGCCTCTTTCCTTTCTGTTAGAAGGTGACTCGTGGGTCAGGCAGCAGTTTGCTCTGCATGTCATGATGATCTGAGTTCGTCAACCCATGTTGACTGCAGAGTTATGAGGACTCCGGTGGTGTGCTCATCCTCCACATTTGCTATTTGGGGTTAGCTACGCCAGTCAGGGTCAGCAGTGCATCTGGGGAGAGGTGGGTATCAGTTTCTGGACAGTCCCATTTCCTGCTGTTGGACCTGGTGGACAAGTGAAGGAATTGACACCAATCATTCTTCCCGAGTCTACAAAGTTAGACAGTACGTGGGAGGGGGTGTTGTGCCAGGAATGTTCAGCATCTGTGAAATTAACCTGCTGTCTGTGAGGGCCTTATCAGTCATGTCTTTTTCTTGGAAGAAGTTTGAAATATCTTGGAACTAGCCTTAAAAAACTTCTGCAATCTTCAAATACAATGTAGCATTTGATATTTTACAAACACTGGGTGTTAGCACTTCTGGTGCTACAGGGTCTGCACATTCGGGTGACTGGTGGTCCTGCTGTCAGTATGATGTATAAGTCTTATTAGATAGTAATAACGTATTAGCAGTAATAATGCATTAACACTGTGGTGATCTTACGCAGTAAGAAACTGCATTTATCTGAAAGATGAATGTGCTGGGATCTTCACAACCCCTTGTGAAAAATTAAAATATTTCCGTTGAAAAATGTATTCTTTTAAATTAACTTTTCAGAAGGAGAAAGAACTGGCTTTTGTTATGGCAAATCTTCATTTACATCAGCTTGTGGAGAGGAGCACATTGGGCTCGGCCACTATGTATGTATTTGTATGTGTGTGTTTACTTTTTGTACAGTTGACAGAAAGGGTTAGAAGCTGATGCCATTGTAATATCCTGAGAACAGCTGCAAAAATACTTTGTTTTTAATCAGTAAACTCAAGCCAACAGGCATAATTACTTAGTTGTTGCTGAAATAATTGGATTATTCATGAATATGTATTCGCTTTATTTATTCTAGTTTAAGGAATTTATACTTAGTAGAATATTATCTATAGGTACAGAATGCTTCATTACTATGAGATGTCTGTGTCATCCCTCATGTTCCTGCACTCACATGAATTTTCATATCTATTTATTTATTTCATTCAAGAGAGAGGGAGAGGGAGAGGGAGGGAAGGAGACAGGTACCCTTGCCAGGGTCTTACCACCCTGCGACCCTCTCACCATCTCCCAGTGAGACAGGACTACAGGCATGAGTGGGCACAGCTGGTGTGTTCAGGTCTACCTGGGGTCTGAGCCTGGGACTCCTGTGTGGCTCCAGTATTGCGCTGTCTGCACCACTGCAGCTGGGACTGAATTTTCACATCTCACAATACATGCAGGCTCCCAGGCCTCTGGCTGAATGTGGCCTGCAGCTATGTCCCATTTGGTCTGGACAGTACATGTCCGCCAGTGAGCTGGAGTGTGTTCAGCCAAGTGCTTGCCATTTCACTGCAGCTCTCAGCCATCTCCTGTAGTCTTAGATTCTCTGTGCTTTCTTTTTTCTTTTTCTTTTTTTTTTTTTTTTTCCTGAAAAGCTTTTGAGTTTGTAACTTTATGAAGTAAGCTTTGTCCATTTTGGTTTTGGGCCTTCTGCCCAGTTTCCTGACCTATAGATCTACTATAGAGCGTCATTGATAGAAAGTGGTGCTTTGAATAGATGTTAATTTTTTAAAAGTATTTTCAGCTCACATATTTTATCTTCAGTGTAGACAAATGCGTGAGCATGTTTTGTTTTGCTTTTAGCCCCTATGAGCTGCCTCCTCATAATGCCTTTGAGATTGACAGCACAGAATACGGACTGCATGGCTACCAACTCCACATCGACATGCACAGCACTGGCGTTTCCTACCTCTGTGTTACATTTCGCAGTTTCTTCACCAAGAAAGGTGAAATTAATTGGGGTTTTGTTTCATTATGAAATGACAAAGTTGTAGAGAGTAGAGAATTAACTTTTATATCTGAGTTAAGAATTGCTGTCCTCACTGGCCACTTCCTAATCTATTGGCATGTTCTCTTGCACGCTCTCCCATACCCCTGTGTCACTACAGGACTTGCCTCGGTGGTGATCTCCCGAGCGTCCGCCTCTGTCTCCTTCAGCAGCGTTGCGCTGTGCTCCATCTTCTGACCTCTGCTCTCCTACAGACACTACCTTACTGTTTTTCCTTGCACTTCACTTCTCACAAACTTCTTCCCTTCTCTCTCAAAGAATTTGTGACATTTGCCCCCAGGCCAGTATAGCGCCTGTCCAGGATGAGAATATGGAGAAACCAGCCTTTCTTCTCTATATGCTGTGTTAGTATTTGTCATTCTTAACAAAGGTAAGGCAGAGGCTGGGGCAGAGGACGGAAGAAGTGAGGGAATGTGGCGTTCTGATTTATGTTACTGTTTTACCTTAGAATCTTTATTTTTCTGTATCCTGTGAACTTGGGGTTTGGTATAGAAACTTGCATAGATTCAAACTTAACATTTTGGTGAGGATTTTATAATATTTTATAGAGGAAATTATGTATTTCATTTTTCATCATATTAAGGGGCACATAATGTCAGGTTGTCCCACTAGTATTGGTAATGCCAAGTTTCACCATTTGGTTAAAATGGTAACCACTAGATTGCTTTATTGTAGAGGTAATCTTCCACATACACTGCTACCCAAAAGTCTTTCACCTAGTAGACTTATTATCTATTAATGATTCTTATCTAAATCATTTTTTTTGTTTAAGTTGAGAAATGTTGATTATTCTATGTATGTTATTCTTTTAATATTTATTAGCTAAGTTTCTTTTTTTTTCTTTTTTTGAGAGGTTTTTGCTATAGGGCATGTGTGCTTGCCAAAAAGACAGAGAGAGACAGAGAAACAGAAAGTGAGAAATCACCTTCCAGGGGGGATGGCCATATTGCAATCCCCTCTCTTCCAGTCTCCTCTTGGGATCTTGGGCACGCACGCACATGTGCCTGGCATGAGTTTAAGCCACTGGGTCCGGGACTCCAGCCGTAGTCGACTACATGGGAGTCCAGCGACGTAGCCATTATGCTACTACTGGTCCCTGCTAAGTTTTTATAAAGAACGTTTTCTTCTCACCTTACTGAACTCCTATAATGGCAAGAAAAATGTTTAATTAATTGGGGTTTTGTCTTATTATGACACTTTTCAGATTAAGAAATTGATGTAATAGTCACTTTTGGGGACGAAAATGATTTTGAGCTATCTCTCCTTCTTATCTTGCCTCTGTTCTTTGTTTAGTGTCACTTTGGACTCTTGGATTTTTATTAATTCAGTGATTTATGGTTAGTTAGAGACTATATTCTTTTTGAAGTTAAAATTATCCCATTTGCTCACTGGGATATACTTTAATCTGCCTTTGGTGCTTCTTAGCTACACCTTCATTAGTCTCTTAGTTTTCTTTGCTTTTTGGCTCAGAGAGAGTTATAGGTTTTCCTGTGCTTGTTGACATTTTTGTTAGAGTTATGTCAAATGTATATATTAACCTCAGGTGAATTGGTATCTTTGTTTTGTCCTATCCAAGAATGTGGAATGTCTCTAATTTATTTAAACATAGTTCTATGTCTTTTAGGTGTGTTTCAGAATTTTCTTTGTACTAGTTTTGCACATTTATTAAGACTTAGCAAATGTTAGTTTTTTAAATGATATCTTCTAGGTGTTTTCTTTTTTCTTTTTTTTGAAGAGGTTTTTGCTACAGGGCATGTGCGCTTGCCAGAGAGACAGAAAGCGAGAAATCACCCCCCCAGGGGGGATGGCCATGCCGCAGTCCCTTCCCTTCCATTCTTGACTCAGGATCTTCCGCACGTACATACATGCGCCCGCCGTGAGTTTAAGCCACCAGGTCCAGGATTCGAACTGTGGTTGACTATGTGGGAGACCAGTGACATAGCCATTACTCTAACTGCTGGTCCCCCTTTTTAGGTGTTTTTGACATTTTTATGTGTGTGGTTTTTGTCTCAGACCACTCTTAGAATTAGTTGGGAAGTATTCCTTCCTCTTGAATTTTTTGGAGTATTTTGCACAGAATTGTTATTATTTCCTCCTCTGCTGTTTACTAGAATTCATCCGTGAAGCCTTCAAGACATGAAACTTTCTTTGTGAGAATGTTAATTTAATTTAATTTAAATTTTTTTATATTTTTGCCATGAGGATGTGCTTGCTGGAGTGACAGAAAAACAGAAAGGAAGGGAAAGTGAGAAATCACCCCCTGAGGGGATGGGTGTACGGTGTTCCCTTCTCCTCCATTCTTCTTTTGGGATTTTGGGCACACAGGCACACGTGTCCATTGTATTTTTCAAGCCGCTGGGTCTGGGACTCAAACTGTGGGGTTAACCATCTGAGTTCCAGTGCCTTAACCACCATACTACATGCTGGCCCTGTGGGAAAGTTTTGAATTACAATTTCATTTTGTTGTTAATTTTTAAAGTTTATTTATTTCTTCCATGAGAAAGAGAGAACGAAAGACAAAGAGAGGCATCTCTAACGGATGCGTCATCCTGTGATGTACCCCTCAGCCTCAGCGAGCCAGGGTCACGTACAGGGAGACCTTGGGATGTGAATATCTCCAGCATCATGGAGCATGGTGTTACCACGGCACCACTGTGACTAGCCAGTTTCAATTTCTTTAATATCATAGAAATAGGGCTACTTAAATTATATATTTCTTCTTGAATGAGCTTTGATATTTTTGTCTTTCAAGATATTTATCCATCTTATCTAAGTTGCCAAATTTATTGGCATGAAGTTCATAATAGTTCATTATTATCTTTATTATTTATTTGCTATAAGGCATGTGCACTTGCCAGAGAGAGAGAGAGATGAACAAAATAAGAAAGAGAAGTGACCACTCTCTTTTTGGGATATTGTGCACACACAAACATGTGCCTGGTATGTTTTTCAAGTCCCTGGATCTGGGCTTGAACCGCAGAATTAGCCATGTGAGATCCAGTGCCTTAACCACTGCACCACCTAATTGGCTCCTGTCGCGCAACTGACGACTCCAGAGACGGTCTTCTCTTCAGCACTTTATTTCCCCAGGCTCTGAATACAGAAGTTCTTTTCTTCCTCCCCAACCCTAGGACCTTATAAAGGGCCCCTGGCCAATCGGGACGTTGTCCACGTGCACAGAAGCCAGTCCTCGAAAGAGGATTGGTTGCATGCGGTGTTCCCCGTGCTCTACACGCTCCCCACTGCCCTACTTCCTTAAAGTTGTTTACTGCTTTTAGCGCGCAGCGGGCTTCCGTTGAGTGCCATTTTGAAATAGGCACTGAGGGCGATGGGCGGGGGCGCTCCACAGGCTCCCTTATCTTCTGAATAACTGTAGAATCTGTAGTGATGTCACCTGATCTCTGATATTGGTAATCTGTATTATTTCTTACTTGCCTTTTCCGTGTGAATAGAAGTTGATAGATTTTATTGATCTCTGAGAATCAGCTTTGGGTTTCATTCATTTTTTTTTTCTCTATTATAATTTGGTTATATATTTGCAAGTCACATTTTATTCTTTCCACTTTTTCTTTTCGTGTTTACTTTTATAGTTTGTTCTTTTTCTAGTTTCTTAAGAGAGGAGCTAAATTCATTGATTTGAGAACTTTCCTTTTAAAATAGACATTTGGTGCTATAAACTTCCTTTAGCATTACAACATAATGCTTTAGTGGCATCCCATAACTTATAACATGTTTTGTTTTTATTTATTTTAAAATACTTTTTGAAACATTTCTCTTTTGACTTCTTTTTCTCATTTTAAAACATTTTATACAATTTTTTATTGCTGTAGGATGTGTGTGCTTGTCAGAGACAGACAGAGAAAGAAAAAAATGAGAAATAATTCCCTAGGTGGATGGTCATGCTACAATCCCTTTTCTCCTTTCACCTCTTAGGATTTTAGGCATGCATGCACACACGCCCAGTGTGATTTTCAAGCTGCTAAGTCTGGGGTTTGAACTGCATTTGACCAGGTGAAAGACCAGCACCTTAACTACCATGCCACCTGTTGGCCCCTTAATTCTTCTTTTTCTTTTTCTTTTTTTGAAGAGGTTTTCTCTTATAGGGCACGTGCGCTCACTAGAAAGACAGAGAGCAACAGAGAGAGAGACAGTGAGAAATCACCCCCCAGGAGGGATGGCCACGCCACAATCCCTTCTCCTCCTTTCTCCTCTCAGGATCTTGGGCGTGCATGCACACTCACCCAGTGTGAGTTTAAGCCACTGGGTATCGGACTAGAACCGCGGTCGACTACATGGGAGTCCAGCGATATAGCCATTACATTAACTGCTGGTCCTGCCCCTTGATTCTTCTTTGACCTATGATTCAGATAGAGGTATGTTATCTAATTTCTAAGCATTTGGGAATTTTCTGGATATCTTTCTGTTACTGATATCTTTCTGTTACTGATTTCTAATATAATTTTATTGTGGTTAGGAAATATATAACTTGGAATTACTTTAAATGAATTGAGACTTGATTTACAATTCCAAATATGACCTCTTTGGCGTACGCTCCATGTGTACTAAGAAGAGCATGTATGCTGTTGTTGCTGAGTAGAGTGTTCTGAAATGTTAGTCAGGTAAAGATGGTTGAGAGTGTTCAGTTTTCTGCCTACTTGTTTTATCAATTACTGAGAGAGTAGTGCTGAAATCTCCAGTTTTGTTGTGTTTCTCCTTGCTGTGCTATCAGTTTTGCTACTTATATTTTGAAATGCTGTTATTGTATTCATAAACATTAAAGACTGTTGGGTCCCACTGACTAATTGACCTTTATCACTATGAAATGACCTCCTTTATTCTTTGTAATAATCTTTTCTCTGAAATTTATTCTGCTGATATTAGCATTCCAGCTCACTAGGTTAGCACAGAGTAACTTTTTAAAAAATTCTTTTACTGTAA